TTTTATTTGGTTCACTGAGAAAACGATCTATTTGATTCCAACAATTTTTGTTTAAATCAAACTTAAAATATCTTTGCTATACAGTCAAACGAATTTAAGTTTAATTTAATTGGTAATTAATTTATTTATTAATTTATTAAATTTTTTGATTCATTTAAAGAAATTATATTTAATTCAAACATATTTTAATTTTTTTGATAATAATTTACAAAGATTCACCTCAGCATTACGTTTGAATTAAACATAGTTATTTAAACAAATAATATTTTTGAATCAAAATAGTAGATATTTTCTATATATTAAGATTAAGCTTATAAACTGATTTTAATTAAAAAAAATCACTTAAAATTATTTTTATATTTGAATTAAGTATAATTGTTTTCTCAGTGTTCAAATAAAAATATTATTTTCTCTCAAAATAAATTTTTGATGCGAAATAAAATTTTTATTACTAAACAAATAAAAAGATTAGTCGGCTGTGAGACAATAATATATTCATTTGACAAAAATATAATAATAATAAAGACTAATTATTAGTTAAGTTCCACTGTAAACTAAGAAGTATTAAAAAGCTGAAGTTGAAGTTTAAATTATAACAGTAAAAATGATTAAATCAATCAATTTTTGGATTAATTTTTTCCGTGAAAAAAATGTCTAAATCATTTTTAAAGCATTTTGAAAAATAATCCTTCGATGAATTATTTTTAAATTATTTTAATTTCAATATTTATCACTAACAAAAATTTATTTCATTCAAATAACTGATTATTTGTCTATTATCAGATAAATATTTACCTGAATCAAATAATTTTTCTTTAAATTAAATAAATGATATTTGCTTCAAATACTAAAATTTGATTTAAATACAATTTACTTGATTTAAATAAAAATTATTTCATCCAAGTAAATATTTATTTGATAATAAACAAGTAATCGGTTAATTAAATTAGAAAATTTTTTTTCGGTGTAGCTTATATCAAAATACCTGAAATTTTATATAATCAAAATTGACTATTTTCTTAATTAATTATTTATTAACAATTAGTTATTTTCTACTAATAAAGAGTTATTTTTTAGTAATTGCAGAAAGCAAAAAGTCAGCAAGGATTTTACTAAGAATTAGTTATTTGTGACTAATTAAAATTTAGAGAGAATATGCCAGTAAACTTTACAAATTTGAGTTAGTGAAAATTGAGTCCCTATATAATTCATAATAGTAAGAATTTTTAGTCATTTTTTATTAAAACTTTAGAAAAAGAAATTCGAACTACTAAACTGAATAAAAATTATTTGATTTAAATAAACGATTACTTGTTTATTATTATAAATAAATATTTATTTGCATCAAATAATTTTATTTGAGTCAATTAAATGGCTTTTGCTTAAAATAATGAAATTATTGGTTCAAATACAATTTTTTAGACTTAAATAAAAATAATTTATTTAATTAAATATCAAAACAGTAATATTTTATTAAAAGTTAGTGGATATTGTTGCTAATGTGAATTAATAATTTAAGGGGAGACCCCACCTTAATTTTGACCCCTTTAAAATAAAATTATTAAACGAGGTAATATTTTTTTTCTTGCATTATTTTTAACCTGAAAAGATATAAGATGGTCAAAAATATTTAATTTTAATTTTTTTCTTCTGACCTATTGCATATTATTGCAAATCCATGCGAGAAGTTGTTTAGAATGGTAAAATATGCATGGAAAAAAATTTTCGTTAAATAATATTAAAAACTGTAAGAGAAGATCGATTTTTTAATATTCAAATCTTTAAATTTTGCCGAAATTTCGAAAGCCTTAAATCTTTAATTTTTTTCCAAATTGTGTATATTTACGTAATTTGATGCTATTATTCAAAAAACATTGTTAAAATTGACATTTAGCTCATTTTCGTGGTAAATTCCATAAAAATCATAGTCCGAAGCTTTTATGGTATACTTTATATATACCAAAATAAATGCAAAAAGCCATGATTTTTATAGTTTTTACCATGAAAATGAGCTAATCGTCAACTTTAACTATGTTTTTTCGACTCAGAGCATCAAATTGGAAAAAAATAAAGGTTCAGGACTTCTGAAATTTCGGCAAAATTTAAAGATTTGAATATTAAAAATCGATCTTCTCTTACAGTTTTTAATATTTTTTAACGAAAATTTTTTTCCATGCATATTTTACCATTCTAAACAACTTCTCGCATGGATTTGTAATAATATGCAATAGGTCAGAAGAAAAAAATTCTAACCTCTTTAAAAATTAAAATTAAATATTTTTGACCATCTTATATTTTTTCAAGTTAAAAATGATGCAAGAAAAAAAATATTACCTCGTTTAATAATTTTATTTTAAAGGGGTCAAAATTAAGGTGGGGTCTCCCCTTAGATTTAGATTTATATGTAAATTTAAATTAATAAATAACTAAATAGTCGTCCTCCAATTCAAAGTAGTAAATGACTTTTACTAACTTTAGTCATTTTTCACTAAAACTTTGGTAAAAAAATTTTCAATTAATAAATAAAAGAATTAAATTCTATACTAAAAATTATTAAACATTATTTTTATTTATTAGAATTAATAAAAAACTTTATGAATCAGAATTGGTGAAAATTTTAACTAAGTAGAATTAGTGAAAATTTTTATTAATTAGAATAAGTGGACGTCTTTTCACTAGCTCAAATTTAAAATTTAACTTCAATTATCATTATCAACTTTTAGTTAATTAGAAACAAGATGATTTATTAAAGAATTTCATATGTACGCATGTCTATAATTGGATGCATTATACTCTATATATGCATATTTATAGAATTTTGCATGTTGTCGACTATTAAAATTCATAATTAAGAATTAAGATATTTCTTTAACTTATTAGAGCACTGTGAATGAAGTGGGTTCAGATAGAGATGTCAAGCACTGCAGTTGACAAGAATAAAAAAAATAACAAGAATTATAGAAGTTAAATTGTATAAGATTAATTAAAAATAGTAATTACGTAAACTAGATTCACTGTTGTGTAATTAATAGAAAAAAAGACTCTTAAGTTGTTTTTACAGGTAGTCAATAAACTAATTAAAAGTGACTTGTTACTTTTCTCATTACTGCGTAGAAAATCAACATTTACAATTTAATGGAATTCTTAAACAAAAAATTCGTTTAACAGAAATTCTCAAACTCTGCATATTTTGTGAGGTTTTATTTTTTCACTATTACTTCACTAATATTACTATTAGAAATTATTTAATTACTTGTTTCAAATCGGAATGAAAAACACGTCCAATTGGGAGTTATTCGAATTCAATAGATAAATGCATACTTAAAAGTAAAACTTACTATTGATTATAAATTTTAATTCCGAAAATATTTAATTTAGGGTTAAAAACTCACCGGCATAGTTTCTCTTTGCAGAAGATGGAGTTATGAGCATTACTATTACTTTCATTACATTATCATTATTAATGTTGTTATTATTATTATAACAATTATTTCCATTCTGTTGTGACTTCGTTCGCTTATTTCATTCATTTTATCTGCAAAAAGAAAAGGAAAAAAATTCATAGATTAATTCAAGTGTGAAAAAAATAAAATTTTAAAATCCGATTAAATTCTACCAAAGAAAAAAGTGCAGATAGAAAAATACTTATATAAAAAATCGTTAAAAGAATAATTTCCAAATAAAAGAAATTATTATTATTAATATATATATATATACGAAGGGCGATAATGCATATACAGACATATAATCAAAAGTCGTATGGAGTGTTTGTCGTTGACAATTTATGTTAAAGTCAAATTAGTCAGAGGACATATAATTAGATTAAAGCTCTTAATTAATGGATAATTAATTTTCAACTCTGGTCGTGCTTGGCAGCAGGCATATGACCTTTCCCAGGCAAACTCAACCTATTTCAAATAACGGGAGAAGGCGAAAGCTTATGCGCAGAAAGGGTAAACTTACGGCGCATTGTTTTATAGAAAATCATGTGAGCTATTTGGTGACGCGTGTAGCTCGTTAATTCCAATTTCATTTATATGCATACATATAATTGATAATTATTTGTTAAATTACTTAATTGGACTACTTCGCAGTTCAAATATATTTCCTATACTGCTTTCCTATATATAATTTATATATTTACACTAATATTACACACTAATTTACACTAATATTAACTACAATTTTGATTAAGTTACATATTGATTACATATTCAAAATTTTAACTTTGCATATTTAGGGAAATTAAATGAAACTAATTTTCCAAATGTGGAAAAAATAGGTACAAAAAATGTAAATATTAAAAAATTTCCTAATCATTAAATTGTTCCATTTTTTCATCTGCTATAAAAGCGAACAAAAATAAAATTCTTTGTGAAGCAAATGAATAATAATTTTATACAATTTAATTATTTAAATTTTTAACCGAATGTGAAATAAATCCTTTTTTGTTTTTATTTAATTATTTTTAATGAGAATTATTTTTATCACGATATTATTTTTAAAATATCGACTCTAGCGTTATGTGCGTATTTTTGTTAAATATTCACATTATAATAAAAAAAACCCATCCAAATAGACACGTTCGCAAGCTATTGAATAATCATTAAATCTCCCAACATTCAAAGGTAGATATATTGAAATAATAGGTAATTTGATATACGATATGTTGTGCGTTTCATATCTCTTTAGCACATAACCATCCCTATAATTATCAATTACTCATATGGTTTTGCAACATAATGAGTTTCGGATTTATCGACGCATGCTTCAAATCTATATATTTATATTATTACTCCATACGTGATTCACGAAATGAATGTTTATTTTCAATTTTATAGGAAAATAATTATAAAAATATTTTTCGTATTTATATGTAGTTGCTCAATAAGATAAACCTACTGATAAGATTTATTAAACAGTTTCAATTATACATTCTTTAAATCCATGTGAAAGTTTCAGTAAAATTTTAATTTATTAATCTTTTATTATTTTTACAGGATTAGTGCACTCTATTGATGCGAGTAAAGATTTTACGGTAGACGGCCTTTCGGGATTCAGTAAAAAGAAGAAAAAGAAGCGTCGTCATAGGTAAGGCTCTTAAATTAATTTCTATCTTGAATAATTAATGGAATGATTAACTGGAACTGATGTAAATAGAGAAGTACGTACAATATTTAAAATCTTTTTTTTAATGAACCATTTTTTGATTAAAATAAAAAGGAGCATTTGTTAACTAAACAAAATAAAAAGAATAAATAACTCTAAATATATCATTTACTCTGTATCAAAATTTAAAAAAATGTAATTCTAAAGATACAATCAGACACTTGTCGCAGTGTTCATTAAGAAAAGTGTTTTTACTCTTAACAAGAGTATTCTATACAGTTCAAGAAGAGAATGTTCGAAACAGATATTTTGTTAATTATTATTGGCTTGATTTTGTAATGAGGTATCTCATTATAATGTTTTATTCGGTTCACCATATACAGTACATACATATCTATATTGTAATGAAAAAAAGGGGAAATCTGGGGCTAAATTATACATCCGACTAAACGAAACGCTACACGATCGGCAATCGACGGTGTGTCAGGGTCTTAACGAGATGATGATCGTCCGGGAAGTGACTTTCAATTTTTGAAGAACTTTCACGCCTGACAGATGTCTGTTCGCACGGCGCAACCGGCAATTTGTCGAATTAACGTTAATTGGATGTCTTGCTTATATTTCACTCAACTATTTCCATCACACATATTTGAACATAATTATAATGTCTTGTGTTTCTTAATTTCAAATTATTTAAAACGTATATGATCATTCATAAAATAAATAAGAGTCTATTTTGAATTCTAGCTTCATCTCAATTATAAAACTATCTCATAGCTTGACAAACAGAAAATAGTTACAATGCTCTATTCAGAGAAGAATTCTTCGAAAATTTAGATCTAGAGAAAAGAAATAAATAAGATCCCACAATTAATTTTTCCACGAGACCAATTTTTGTTTAGATTATATATAAAGTATTCATTTAATTATATTTATACTAAATTAACCCACAAGAAATTTCTTATAGAAAGAAGCTATTCTTTTTTTTTAGAAAATTAGATACTTTCACAAATAGCTATTGAATTTCCTATTTCGGTTGTTTTCATTACCCACGGTCTAAGCATAACACTCACAACCATTTATCTTTTGCCAGAAGGCTAAAGATATTATTTTAGGCAAAAATGAGCTAATTTGAAACTGCCAAAACAGAAAATTAGAAATCTCTAATTATCTCATAGAAGACAAACAAATATTTAGAGCTAAATGAACTGTAAAAATTTAACTACCACACAATTAAGGAATAAATAACAGATATTTCTTTTCTACTAAATACCTATAAATTTGATATCGAAGAGTTTTTGTTTTCAATTGTATGAACGAATATTAGGCGGATTCAGTCAATAGAGTTAACTTTAGGTAAAAAGTTGTAATGGCATATAACTAGGTTCATATGGTTGTTGCTCCAGGACGATCTTCACGTCCCAGCAGTTGGAGGAGTTGGAGACTGCTTTCAAGGAGGCCCATTATCCCGATGTCTATGCCCGAGAGATGCTCAGCCTCAGAACCGACTTACCGGAAGATAGGATACAGGTAAGAGGACGAATAAGTGCGAGCATTTTGTTCCCTAACTTTTAAAAGATTATACACACAAGCAAACAAATTTAAATTCTAAATTATATCCATATTCATTTTCAGCGGATTCTTTTATTTAAATTTTTCAAATGTAAATTTCTCAATGAAGAAAAATGATCGTTATATTACTCTTTGTTATATCATTATCATTAGTATATTATTGTTAAGAAATAATTACTTTTAGCATACTTTTGTTAATACAATATAAGAATATTAGTGCTAATATATTACTATTCGCATACTATTTTTAATAAATTATGAAAAGTATATATTATTATTAAGTAAATTATTAATCATATCATCTTTGACAGTTTATGTGTATATAATTTTTTAAAAGTTAGTTATGAAATCTGATAATCTAACAAGACAATAAAAACAACTATATATAAGATGCAAGAAACAAAAGCTTACACTTTAAAAAAAGTCCTAAGGCATTTAAAGCTTGAATTGTTTTTTTAAAATTCAACACATTTGGACTTGAAATGAAAGTAAACTTTCTTTAGCTTTTAAAAGCAGTTTTCTAGTCTGAAATTATTTGAATAATAATCATTTAAACAATTATTTGAATTAATGTATAAGTTTTAGTAAAAATTGGGTTGAATAAGAAAGGCATGTTTTACAGTATATAAAATTTACCAAATGTCACAAAAAACCAGTTAAATATTCTCTATCGAACCTACACTTGCATTAACAGAATAAACGTTAGAATACCCTTGAGACACTAACATATTTTTCAAAGCAGGAATGTAAAAATATTACAACAAATTATATTAAAATTTTACAACTATGAAGAATTCTTTAATATTTAAACCAAAAATGAAACTTTGAGACTATTTCATCAAAAGAAGACAAAGAAGAAGAAAACGCTTATTACATATAACTAACAATTACGCATAAAATTCAAACTGAAAGTATTCTATAAAATTATAGAATATAAATAAAATGTTATTTTCCAATTACAATAAAGTTTTGTTCTAAACTTCATGTACATTATTTTTTATGTTTAGTTATAATTAATTATATGAATCTGTAATTACTTTATAATATCTACTAATTTTTAATAATTTTTCTTCTACGGATCTTTAATAAGTTTTTTTATTCTGAAAGAAAAATGCAGAATTTAAATATATTATTAACAGAAGAATGTTTTTAATTTGGGATATTTCCTCTCATTTTTTCAATATCTCATAAATAAAGACTACAGGATTATGTTATTATAATTTCTGTATAAATTTTATCTTACTATGTTGTTCAATTAATCTAATTAATTCTTCAATCATACACTAAATTTAAACTCAAAATTATCAAAAATTATAAAAGTACAAATGCATCGTAATACAAAATGGGGGCTTGATCTTTTTTATCAAAAATATGATGCCCAAGATATATATGTACATTATTATCCAATTATTATAATCGAATAACAATAATTGCGTCCCTAAAGAAGACTATACCTAACGCAAATACTTTTGGAGAATGTTTACTTGTCGAACCTTAGTGATTATATTTTGATACAATCAGAATACAATGAAGGGGTAAGTATAGGGTGGAGGTAAAACGGGTTAAAGGAAAAGGTAGTAGGGAAGAGAAACGCGTAACAGGGGTGCGCGCCGTTAGAACCGAATGTAGTGGCGCGTACATATCCCAACAAAGCGGCCATTGCAGGATGGGTGCGGTCCCGCGAGCCAATCAGCGCGACAGGCCGCGGTATGCTGGCCAATCAGAGTACGCCGTCGCAACCGTCTTTTGTTTCTAAGTTCCCCGCGAAAGGCGACACAATATAACGAACGCACTGGGAGAGGGAAACAGACTGGTAATCGTTAACGAGATATTTTTTTACAAAACACTCTTTCATCCCTCTCCCTCTCTCATTCACCACCATTTCCTCCTGTTTCTCTAGATCCTATCCTCCAACCTCCTCTCTTCCCCTCTTTCTCGATTTCTCAAATTCCTAGAATTATTCTCTCTCTTGCCTTCAATCTTTCTTCTTCTATTAACTACATCCTTTATTCTTAATACCGTGTACACCTTTTCTTCAAATTCCTCCACCATTACACATTAGCTCCTTCCTTAATCCCCTTCTCTTATTTTTTTATTTAATTTTTCCTCACTCACACTGCTCAACTTTTTTTTCGACCCCATTTTGAATTTTACTCCATTTGCAGTTTATTAAATCTTTTGGATTAGAGTTTTGAAGGACTCTTATTGTTTTGCTCTTTCCGTTTTTCTTCAAGAATTGCCCTTCACCTGTTTGTATATAGTTCTCTATCTTATTCTTGGTTTTCTTACTGAGGGAAAATTTTTCAAGTACGTGAACGATTTATTTTAAAACGGATATATTTTTCCAAATAATGTTACTTATACGTTTTTGCACATTATGTTTTAAACGGTATAAAATATTTGATTAAAAATAAAGAATTCGAAAAAGTAGTAAAGAGGAAGAACCAAAAATGATCCGGATAGATAATCTTTTCGAAAAGAAGTTTTTTGAAGACACATTCTTTTATGGAGGATAAAATTTTATCATTCACATAAGAAATCAATAGGTAAAGAAAAGATTATTGAAATCTCGTGCCAACTGAATTCAGTGCCAATGCGTTAAAATTTTGTGGCAAGAATAATGATTATTCGAAAATGGAAGATTTGCCCAAAACTATATATACATATATATGTATACCGTTCGAGATTCAAACCGCCTGCGGTGAGGTTAATCGAAATGTCTCTGGCAGACTTCCGTGTCCCGATTCTTATTAAGGGTAAAGGGACTTCCGGTGTGTTGGACCCTTTGCCCAACACAGAGATCACTTAAATGGCATTTAAACCACCTTTGTAACGAAAATGCGATAAACTGACGTCTGATGTTGATATCTCGTTAGTCTGATCTTATAGATAAAGTGCGCGACGTGAGCGAGAAGAGAAGATCTAGAAGACGTCCGATTGGCGCCGAATCTGCGGACAAACGCACATAATTTTAGGGATTTAGTCTCAAAGGTACTTTTCGAATTGCAAAGGGATGATGATTTGTCGACGTCTCGTCATAAGGGTGCGAAAATTATCTTCCTGGTTTCATTGGCGTCTTTCACGCGTTCGTTTTTGTCAGGATCAATATTATATGCGAGTATCAGAAAGGGATGAGAACGAAAATGGGGAAGAAATAGAACCAGAGACAAAGATTCTTGGGGTTGCTGGACAAAATTACCGCGAGTCGGTATTGGATTAATGTTACAAGACCAATCACAGCAGCTTTTATTCCTCCTCTCTATAACTAACTCAATATATCCCCGATTTCATATCGATTCATAACTTCTGCTCTATTATTGTATAGACAACTAATATTGCTATAATATTTATTTTAATATTCTAAACACGTTTAACTTTCTTTTCGTATAAAAAATTGTGTACTGAAAAGAACTCGAAGCTTTTATTTTTTCGATTCATTATACCTCTCGATAAGTTTCATTATTATATCTTCCACCATTGATGCTCTGAATAAAAGTCCTCCCCAGTTTCAATCCTGAGATTGGAAATTACTTTTTATTCTAATAGCCAATCGGCAGGGCATTGGATTCATTCGATAAACAGACGGGTTTCGTTTCTTTCACTTCCTCTTTTAATAATGGGGGAGAAGAAAATCGATAGTCTGAAGCATCCGTTAAGCGTCTTATTAGCGAAGAATTCTGACATAGCTCACAATCTCGTGGTTGGTTATATACACTATATATACGTTCGCATCGGTGAGAAGGCAAGTTGGCAAAAGCAGAAGAAAAAAAACCCTCCATTGAAAAAAAATGTTCTTCAAGTAGCGGCGGACGTTTTGCATAAGGCGCAAGTCATCTATATTGTAACTCCTTCAGATATCCTCATCTGAAGTCTTAACTAAAATTTCTGACAGAGGTTGTAAGCAGAAAGAAACCTTTTTCTGACAACAGGGTCCCATTGTTGGGCCTTCGATTCAAAACTAATGTCTACGCCTGTCTTTAAGGAAATGTTGAAACTGACTCGTCTATAGTGGCTATTTCTAAAAATGACTCAAAAATAATGACTATAAAAATAAAAAAAGAGGTCCTCTTGAAGATAAATTTTGTTTGGAATTCATTATATAATAATATGGGAAAAGTGGAAAAATAACAATCTGACTGGACCAATTTACTTCATTTGTTAAAAAAAGTTTCCATAGAGAACTTTGATGATTTTGTCATGTAAAATAATTTAATATAATCATTAAATTTTTAGTGCCAAAAACTTGAATAAGATGAATTCAAATTCATGTAATTATCAAAAATAGTAACAAGATTCCGTCTCATAAAAATATCGTTAATTGTTCAAACTTGGAAAATATAATCTCCCAAGAAGACTATATAACGTTAAAGAAATTAGCATGAATTTCCCGTATGGATGGTAATCATGGTGAATAATTTTCGTGAACTTACGACGTTGAGTATCCACTAAACATAAACATGGCGGGGAATTGTCGGTAGTCGGGTCGTTGGAAAATTCGCGGGTCATTTGAGCCGTTTACGCGCCATTACCCTTTCTTAGTCGGTCCTCGACGAATTCAGGAGAGGGCAAAAGGAGAAGGAAAAGCGGTTCTAAAGCCACGTGAACGTGACTTGGATCCTTGTTACGTAGTACTTTCTTCGAAGATTATACCCTCATCCTCTCAAACTACCTAGCCCAGAGCTTTCTTGAGTCTCGTGCCACCCACCCCTCCACCGCCCCCTTCAGCTCTACTCTCAAGAAAAGCTGCTCGAATTCAGACGGAAAGCAACGAAGCTTTGGTAACAGTAGAAGGCGAACTCCCAATAGCCGTTATCGTCAAAGTTACTGCCTGTTTCAAAAGTCGACGCCGGTGTCCGGAAACTTGCGAAATAATGCAGTAACGCTCTCCGTCCAAGATGGCCTACGAATGTCGGTGATTTTCCTGTGAAAATCGAATTACGCGAAACTTTTTTACGACT